CTCATGCACAGTCACAGCTCTGACGCCTTACTTGATGCTTCCAACCGAAATGTTCCTGATAACAACAACATCCAGGGCGCACAGGTTTGGTCCTCCAATGGCGTTGAGCTCCACACTGCTGAGACTGTTCCCCTTTACACTCAGATACTTGGAGATGATGGCTTTGGCCTTGATGAGGAGAACCAAGCATCGGTGTGAAGACACAAGCATGTAAAGTAAGCTCACGTTCAGATTTTTTCTTCTGTTTGCTCACCAGAACCGGGTCCCACGGCCCATTTGAAGCATCCATCAAAGAAGCGAGTGTGTCGATCTGAATAATACTCCACATGTTGATGTCTTCCATTGTGGCACTACGGGACATTGCTCCTAAGATCTGAACCTGATCTTCTGGGATGATGCCGCTGGCACTGTAAGCCTATAAAAAAAGTCAGAAGATATTTAGACTCAAATTTAGATAGCAAAAGCTTAAATAATAGAAGTTGTCAGCGTTGCAGACTTTGCATGCCCTCCCTTTGGTACTTTGTTGACATCTGGGACAACGTTGCATAAAAAGTAAACTCTCCAACAGGTTCGTGTAAATCCTACCTGTTCAAACCGATACAGATATCTGTTGCTGTACCACAAAAAAAAGAGAGAAAAAAAGTTATAAATTGACAAAAAATTACATTTTATGCATCAACACAGCAGGATATGAGATTTCATGCTGCCATCATTAATCACACTGCAGATCTCGCAAGTAAAAACCAAGTTCCCTTTCAACACCAATGTGTTTTTTGTTTTGTTTTTTTTTTCTTGTCAGTGCTTCTGATGTAAGATGATCTCTACATACTTGTAACAAAACAGCAGGATATGAGACAAAATGTTTAAAATGAGCAATTAAAAGATTGAATCTGCAGCAGAAGGTCCACCGCTAGCTTAACATTTCATGTTTTCCTGCTTTATTTCGGCCTCCCTTACTTCATGTGCTCTCGATTAACACTTGGGCCCTGCTTGGGTACTGCTGCTTTGTCTGAGGTGTCTTTGAATATTTTACCCCATGCTACCTTTTGTAATACTTACGCGTGGTGCTGCTGGATCCAGTTGTTGAAGTTGTCCCCAATGATGTCAATGAAGTTGCCCCTGATGTTGTTGATGAATTTGGCCCCGATGTTATCGATGAAGTTGCCCCTGATGTGGTTGATGAATTTGGCCCCGATGTTATCGATGAAGTTGCCCCTGATGTGTTGATGAATTTGGCCCCGATGTTATCGATGAAGTTGCCCCTGATGTGGTTGATGAATTTGGCCCCGATGTTATCGATGAAGTTGCCCCTGATGTTGTTGATGATGATGTACCCGGTGTAGTGGTGGTGGGGCTAACCTTGCCTCCTGTAAGCCCCACTCCCAGGCCATTAAGTTCAGACTGAAACTGTGAACTGATCCAGGTTTGCACCACTGTCACATTTTCATATGACTTCAAAAGTGGGAGGTTGGTGCCAAGAAGACCTTTAACATCACTAACAGTCAGGTTCTATGGAGAACAGAGCAGACACATTTTATCCTATGAGCAAATAAACACACTTACTTTATTCTTTGACCGAACCAAAAAACAATTTAGTTTTACAACTTATCAGGCCCGTCTAATGGTTTGAGTGAAGTAAATAAATTGAGGAACTATGATGCAAGACCCCCACCCCAAAATAAATAAAAAAAAATAAAAACCTTTTTTCAAAATTAGTCTAAAATTCAGAATTCAAAGTGCAGACATGCAGCACTGACCTGTATAACACTCTCAAGCAGCCCAGTGAAGATCGGGACGTCCATACTGATATTGGCAGACACTAAGTCTTGGATAAACCTAAGATCTGCACCCGCTGCAAGAATGGAAAAAAATTAATGGTACGTTAACTTTCAGCTGTTTAAATGATGCTTTTTTGAATGTGGGTCTGTTTGCTTACGTAGGTAAGATTGTATGAGCTGGTAACTGGAAGTGGAGATAGTGATTGAGTTTTTGTCTGGGATAAATGCTTCATATGCGAGGGAAAACAGTTCTTGCTTTTTCTCAGTGGTGCAGCTGGATATGTCCAGAGCATCGGCGTTCCTGCAGGAGATAAAACACACAGGAACGGTGTGTTGAGTTTATGGAATTCATATAACATTATTTATCATTAAATCAGACTTTTTTTTCTAGTTATCTAAATAATAATTTAGAGATTTATGTGGGTTCACCTGCCTTTGTAAGTACAGGATCCCTGACAGACCTTTAGCCAACATGTTCATGTACCTTCCAGATATTACCTGTGTTAGGTTTAATGTATGTGTTGTAGGTTGCCATTTAAAAACCTACACAATGCCATTTAGAAAGCTAGAATGCTTCTGCTTGCTATCTAGGTAACCTACGCATATGACTACGTGCATGACATTGATAAAGGGAACAAGCAGCCTTGACAAGAACACATTCTACCAACAACAATCTGGGAGAGCTGCACTCCCATCATATAACCACACACAATGTATAATCATGCTTGCACAGCACAATCACACTTTGTAACCAGTTATAGTAATTTCTCATAGGTAATACAGCAACAAGCTTTATGAATATTCATGTGTGTAACCAATAAAAACAACCTGCAGGGGGAAAGCAAGTTGAAGTGGGTTGGAGACAATTGCTTCCCTGTCGCGAGTGAAAATTTGAGCTCCGTGTGACCTTGTTCCTGAGTGAGTTTCTGTTTATCCAGCAGTATTAGGGGTAAAACTCTGACAACCTGCTGCTAATGTGATGTAAAAATAACCTCCAAACACACACACACTCATGCACAGTCACAGCTCTGACGCCTTACTTGATGCTTCCAACCGAAATGTTCCTGATAACAACAACATCCAGGGCGCACAGGTTTGGTCCTCCAATGGCGTTGAGCTCCACACTGCTGAGACTGTTCCCCTTTACACTCAGATACTTGGAGATGATGGCTTTGGCCTTGATGAGGAGAACCAAGCATCGGTGAGAAGACACAAGCATGTAAAGTAAGCTCACGTTCAGATTTTTTCTTCTGTTTGCTCACCAGAACCGGGTCCCACGGCCCATTTGAAGCATCCATCAAAGAAGCGAGTGTGTCGATCTGAATAATACTCCACATGTTGATGTCTTCCATTGTTGCACTACGGGACATTGCTCCTAAGATCTGAACCTGATCTTCTGGGATGATGCCGCTGGCACTGTAAGCCTATAAAAAAAGTCAGAAGATATTTAGACTCAAATTTAGATAGCAAAAGCTTAAATAATAGAAGTTGTCAGCGTTGCAGACTTTGCATGCCCTCCCTGTGTCTGTGCTGGTTCTCATGCTTCGTTCCAAAGTCCAAAAACATGCACGGGGTTTGGTCGAATACTGATTTTAAACCGACCGTAGGTCAGAATGTGTGTTATGTTTTTCTGAATGCTTCTGTGTGTTAAACCTGCTCTCCAGGAGGGGCCTAACCTGCCTCTAAATCTATGCCAGCTGGGATAGGCTCCAGGAGTTTTTTTGCCACTTACCTCTCGCAACTTGCTGAGAACAATCTTTGTGTAGTTCTGCTCCTGCACCTGGTTAACGAGGGCATCCAAGTTGTCTTTGACAATGGTGGAATTGAGGCAGCTGGTGAACTGATTTATATCATAGTTTAAGGGGAATATTAGATTAACGAGAGTCACACGGTTTATGAATCCCAAAGTGCAGTCAGTGGCTGAAACACAGAAAGAGAAACAATTTTTGGTTAAACAGTAAATTCTCTCTAGATTCTAATACATGGACCAAGCAGTTGACAGAAAGAAACCAACCTGTAGATTCCTCATTAGGAATGGACATCCTTATTGCGCTCTTCAGCTCCCCGATCTTCTGACTGTCCACGTTGTTTTCCTTGAGAACACCCAGGAAGTACCTCAAGTAGTTGTTCTTTGTTTTCTGCTCACAATAACAAAGGGAAAGAAAGAAAGGCGCATAAAAAACAAGGTTAACAGCAAAAAACAGAAACCAAAATCAAAAAATGTAAATGTTTGTGTGACGCCCACAAGTGTATGGTCACAATTGTAATTTTGTTGTGAATTGTTTTTGATGTAAAAGACCTGATTTTATGGTGGTATTGCACTTTTCATTTAGCGTTATGGACAATGTAATTGCGTGGCATTGCCACAAGGGGGAGATAGTGGTGAGTGCGATAGGCCATTGCAACGCGTCTCTGCCTCAGACGAGGAAGAGCCCTTACTTTATTCTTTGACCGAACCAAAAAACAATTTAGTTTTACAACTTATCAGGCCCGTCTAATGGTTTGAGTGAAGTAAATAAATTGAGGAACTATGATGCAAGACCCCCACCCCAAAATAAATAAAAAAAAATAAAAACCTTTTTTCAAAATTAGTCTAAAATTCAGAATTCAAAGTGCAGACATGCAGCACTGACCTGTATAACACTCTCAAGCAGCCCAGTGAAGATCGGGACGTCCATACTGATATTGGCAGACACTAAGTCTTGGATAAACCTAAGATCTGCACCCGCTGCAAGAATGGAAAAAAATTAATGGTACGTTAACTTTCAGCTGTTTAAATGATGCTTTTTTGAATGTGGGTCTGTTTGCTTACGTAGGTAAGATTGTATGAGCTGGTAACTGGAAGTGGAGATAGTGATTGAGT